TCCTGTTGTTTTCGTGCTTTAGATTTCAAGCTGGTAGGTTTAAGAAATTATATTTTGTTGCCTTGTATAATATGCTTTTATGTGGTTAGATTGCATTGAAGTTGTAAATTGCGTTTTGATTGTTCAGCATGGCCTAGGATGATTCCTTAGACTTATTTAAAACATAGATGTTAGGTGACATGATCACTTTAGTTGTTTCTGTATTCGAGATTGCAAGTTAATACCTTTAAGAACCTATATTTTGTTGCTTTGTATAACGTGCTTCCATATTGTTTAAATGGCATAGATGATGTGATTTATGCTAGAAACACTCTAAGGTAGCTTAGGTTGCTCCCTGAGTCTCATTTCGATATAGACGTTAGGTTGCATGAACCCCTTTAACATGTTTCACCTTAAGGTGATAAATTTGTAAAATGCTAGGTCGATGCATGCTCATATCCTACGAGTAGCTTTATGTTACTCACCCCTACGATACTGGGGCATATTTCAGGTACGAAGACTTAGTTCGTGAAGCCTAGCATTTCTTGGATGTCGTATACCTTTCAAGTTTCCATTTTATGCAAATGTTAGCATGAAATGTCATTTTATAGACTTATATGTCAAAATATGTGTATTTGATTTTATGTATGTAATGTGTACATAAATGCACTCCTTTCAATGTATTTGACATGTATGAGATGAGGCCGGAGGCCAATGACATGCGTATTGTATTATATACAACTTTTTAACTTCATGAAATATTATGAAACCTTGAAAAATCGCAAGCCATTACTTCACCATGGTTGCATCGGGTGTGGGAATTCCATTTTCATTCTTTCGTAGGGACTTATTAATCTTGTGTGAAGTGTGGCCAAGGGCCAAATGGTCATTTGACTCCATTTTACATTTTTGGATTCCATGTTTTCCATTCCAAGTCCATTTTTGCCTTTATGCCCGTTGGGGGGTTGGATTTTGCATCGGCTATATTTTTAAGCCATGGACTATTGCAGCGCGTCTAAATAGGTAAGTTACGTTTGCGTGCATAGTCGTTTCCGGGCAAAACCTCATCGTTTGTGTTTTGAGCCTCCTACGATTTCATTTTGCGTTTTTGTTGTGTATTCTGATCTAGGGGTATTCTAGACTTTTCATGGTGGTTTTATTTTCTTCTTTCAACATGGTTGAATAGAAAACATGATTTTAGGGGGTGTTTCTTTTTCGTTTTTTTCTAGAAAATGTCGTCTTGGCATCGGAAATCGCTTACAAAGTTCAGCTTTTAGTTTACTATTTAGCAGCTTTTTCGACCCTCTGGACCAGATTTCTTGGGAGGGCATTTTGGGCATTTTACATGGCATTTTTTTTTTTAATTCTCTCACGAGTCATGTAGAAAACTCAATTTTGAGGGGGTTTCTTCTTTGTGTTTTTACAAAAAAATTCATCTAGGCCTCCAAATTCAGCCTCTGTTCTGGTTTTCTTTTATAAAAAAAAAGCACATAGAAGCTTTTGGGCTGCTGGTAGCCGTGTGTGCGCCCAGCGCGCACGCGGCATGCATGGGCACTCATGGGGGGCTATCATGGCCTCTTGTCGGGCCGCCGCGACGTCAAATCTTCTTTTAGGCTTTTCTCCTTCGTGCGGACTCCGATTTAAGTGAAATTTTTTTTGAACTTGATTGATTTTTCATCGTCTATCCAACGGTGTGCTCGGTTACACTCAGATATTTTTGGATAATTACCAATTTGCCCTTAAATCTATCCAAAATATGATATTTTTGGATATTTTTGTCATATTTTCGATCTTTTGCTTCCGCATCAGTTCTTGTTAAGTTCCACGACCTCATGGAAGGTCACTTTGACTTCTTAGAGTCTTGTTTTCTATTTTCGCTTCCGCATTCGGATCCTTTATCGGATCATCCTTACGGTTCATCACATAACACGCTGGCCTAAAAATCAAGGTCGTCACAATCCAGTTCGGGTCATCGCAGGACACTCTGGGTTGAAAAATCTAGGGTCGTCACATCCTTGTTGACAACCTTAACGTCACACAGACTAATGGCAAATTAAGGAAGATATGGGCTTTAAAACAGTAATCAAATGTATAAGATTTATAATAGTAATTAAAGCACAAAATAGAGACTGTAGAATAAAAGTTGAAGTAGAAAACTTACAATAATGTCCAAGCTCGTAGTTCAAGCTCTGATACCAATTACAAGTCGAAGAAATATAAACTGAGAATGTTTACAAAAGAGAGATAGAGAACAAAAGGAAAACTTCAGACAAACTTTAGATGCCGATAACTAGGTTAAGCTTCGGTTTAAATAAAACTAAAAAGTACATTTCACTATTCATGAATAGTGTTTGGATAAGATAGAATCTTTTCTTTTTACTGTTCATGAATAGTATTTTGTCGGCGACTTCACTATTGCTGAATAGTTTGCCGGCTACTTTCTTCTTGTCGTGTGCTAGTTTGTTGTGCAGTCGATCAGTAAGAAGATGTTGTCAGTCTGTCAGTCTTCCATGGCGTTGATGGGGTTATGGAGTTCATATTCATCTAAAGGAGGGCTGCTGACTGGGCTTTGGGTATATTGTTCATGCCATTCGAGCTCGGTTTGTTCGGCACCCATGATGACGTCAGGATGAACGTCAATAGTGAAATTCTGAATTTTTAATAAAAATTCTATTACTTCCAGACGTTGTGCTTCACCATATTCGGGATATTCAATGAATAGCTGGGTGACAAAAAGTTGTCTTCCGTCATAAACAGTATGGAGATAGATATCTTCTGTTTGAGATATGCTGACTGTATTTGCTTTGTGCTTTAGGTGCAAAAGGCTTTTGATTGCCAACTCAAAGGGTTTAATCTTATCGGCAAGCTGAGCTTAATTCAATAATGGATGATGATCGAATTCACTATCTTCTGTGGTTTTCAGAAACCAGATTTAGTAAGGCTGGAAAAATTTTATTTTTTCTCGCCAACCAAGAGAGCTCGAAATCCAGAATGTCATATTGCGGCTGAATTGCCAATAAGCTATAGTTTTGCAGATCATGGATTTAAGCATTGCTGGGAAAGCATTCTATGAAGTAAAATCATGTGAGGAGAATGTAATTTTGTTAATTACTCCCCAATCGATAGGTTCCATTGACCATTCAAAACCAAAAATAATGAAAAGAGTGATTTTTGGAAATTTTCAATTATAAATCATGTCGAAATGGTTTATATCTTCATGATTATCAAGATAGAAATATGAAATTGTTTTAAAATGATCATCTGTTTTAGAGAGGATAATTTTAAATAATTCGAGGGGAAACATATTTCTTATTTTTCCAAGAAGATATATTCGATTGATTTTCGCAAAAGTGTCTTGTGGAAAATCATATTCACCAACTAACTGGGCGAGTTTTAAAAAGCAGCTTATATGAGTTAAAGAAAAATCCTTTTCCCAGTCAATTGTTAAATAGATTTGGACGCAAAACTTTTTAAGTTCTTCGGTCATGGCTATTTGTTCAGCAATGAGAGAAGTAAGAGTACTCAGGTGTTCCTGAATTTCTTATTGCAGTATAACTGATGCATTTTCCATACACCATTAATTTCATCATAAAAATTCTTTGGAAGGCCAGGATTGTAAAAGTCTTTTACTTGTACGGCTTCCTATTGCAAAGTTAGCAAAAACATTTTGTGTAGCTTTTCCGACATTATACAATACTTGTTGAGCTTCTGCAACAGTGTCAAAAGCTTTGAAGCATGACCCATGAAAACCTTTTAATTGGGGATGGCAATCATGCCATTGTGCATAGATTCCTGGTTGGAATCCTGCAAAGACTACATACCATTGTTGAGATGGTTGTACTGTGTGAACATGTTGTTTATTCGCCATTTTAGCGACTGTGGTCCAACCATCTTGCTGAGGTTTTTTACCTCGATCGCTCATCTGTGGAAGCAGAAATATTGTTAGATTTGTATGTACAATTTCTACTGAGAAAATCTGCAAGAAAATTGTTAGTTCCTTTAACATGTTCTATAGCAAAAGAATATTGGGCAATAACATTATACCATTTTAAATGTCCTCCCTCTAAGTAATTCTTTTTATTAATAAGGAAGTCTTTGACTGCTTGGTTATTAGTACGGATAATAAAATCTTCTGGTGCCAGATAAATATGATATCTTTTTATTGCTAATTTAATGGCAAGAAGTTCTTTTTCATAACTAATATAATTCTGTTAATTTGGTTTAAATTTTTCAGAATTATAATCACAAATCAATTCTTCTTTTTAAAGCTTTTTTGGGATAGGAGCTTTTCGGGCTCTTATCTGGTGATTTGTGAAAACTGCTTCATTCCATTTTTCTTGTGGAATGGCTTTTAAAACACATCCCTAACATAAATCTGAGGCATCAGTTTCAAGAATAAGTTTATCTCCTGTTTAAGGAAAATAAACTTCAGAGATATTCATGAGATCTTGTTTGATCTGTTGAATAATGCGTTTGTCTTCTTCAGTCCAGTTTACTGTTCATGAATAGTAGTTTGTCGGTGACTTTCACTGTTGATGAATAGTTTACCGGCTACTTTCTTCTTGTCATGTGCTAGTTTGTTGTGCAGTCGATCAGTAAGAAGATGTTGTTAGTCTGTCAGTCTGTCAGTCTTCCATGGCGTTAATGAGGTTATGGAGTTCATATTCATCTAAATGAGGGCTGCTAACTGGGCTTTGGGCATATTGTTTACGCCTTTTGATTGCCAATTCCAAGGGTTTAATCTTGTCGGCAAGCTGAGCTGAATTCAATAATGGATGATGATCGAATTCACAATCTTATATGGTTTTGAGAAACCAAATTTGGTAAGGATGGAAAAATTTTGTTTTTTCTCGCCAACCAAGAGAGCTCGAAATGCCAAGCGGCCCAAGCAACTTTCAAGACAATATTTAATGAAGCACCTCTTGATACTGTATTCAAAACACCTATATTGAAATAGGAATGCAATAAGAAAAATTAAGTAATCGTGGATGTGCGGGGGTTGCGTAACACCTTTCCAAGCATAATCAAAACCCGAATTCATTAATATGGTTGACAAAGATTAGATGGTAGCATGGTAGTCAAACATATTAAGGACTCAAATTTAGACCTCATTTGAGTCAAACTACTAAAATCTTCTTATATATCCTTAGATATCCATAGAAAACCTAAAACAACACAATCCAACGTTAAGTCCGACATACTTTATCCATACAATTCAGCTGACAAGCGAGGAGTAAGGAAGACTTCAAGTGGTGTAGCTTTGGGGTTGGAGAGTCCAAAGCTCTCACTCATATCAACTGGTTCATCCACTGGAGTAGCAACCACAAACCCATGTAGTAAACTAGCGAGCGTAAGCTGCGTAACTTGAAGTGCAAAAGAGACTCCAGGGCACACTCTTATTCCACTACCAAATGGAATCAATTCGAAGTGTTGACCTCTAACATCAATCTCTTTATGAGTTGTAAGGAACCTTTCCGGCATGAACTCGAAAGGATCTGACCACACACGAGGATCATGATGAATTTTCCAAAGATTTACAATGAGGCGTGTGCCTGCGCGGACATGGTAGCCACCCAAAGTGCAGTCCTCTATGGCCTCGCGTGGCGCCAAGAGTTGTCCAGCCGGGTATAGACGTAGTGTTTCTTTGAGTATGGCTTGGAAGTAAACCAGGTTCTTTATGTCTGATTCAGTCACTTGTCTTTCTTTACCAACATGGATGTCTAACTCCTCTTGTGCCTTTTTTAGTGCTCGAGGGTTGTTGAGTAGTAAAGAAAGGGCCCATGTTAACGTAATTGTTGTTGTATCAGTGGCACCAACGAGGAGAGTCTGTAAAATGCCCGAACCATTAGATTAATTGGTAAGTAAATTAATGCAGTTCAAATTTTAGCTTTATTTAATTATTTAATTATTTTTTTATTTTTTTATTTTTTAAGATAAGTCTCCCTTTTCCTTTAAAAGACAAATAGTCTTATAAATTTTCTATAAAACTAGTAGCCCTACTTTTGAAATTCTTTTTACATTCAAGTGTTAAACCACTCAAAATTTCAATTTTCTTTAGCAAATAGAAGTTTAGTTTTACAATTATAATTTTTTTAAATTGATATTTAATATATATATATATATATATATATATTGTCTTCCTTTATGTTTTAGTTACTTAATGAAATTTATATTATAAACATAATTTATAATTAATTTAATTAAAATTCAATTCCAAAAAAACATTTCTAGTGGAGGATGGTGAGGCCTATTCCCTATGGCATACAACAAATATTTTTTAAATACAAAAATAAAAAATAATATTAAAATAATTTAATGAAATATTATTTACCGAATTTTTTTTAATAAAATATGATAATTTCTTTTATTGAAACAATTACAATAAAATTTTATCCTTTTAAAAATCAGAATAATTATTTTGGAGTAAATATATATATATATATATATCCAATTGCTAATAGAAAACTTCTAGACATGTTTAAATACCAATGAAAAATTTATAAGACTTATTGATTTTTTATAGAAAAATAAGTAGGACTTAGTAATATATATATATATATATATATATATATATATATATATATATATTTTAAAGGGTTAATTTCACTAACACATCTTCAGGTTTGGCCAAATATCACTATGAAACATTTTTTGAAAATTACTATCACTCATATTACAAATATTTGTTCTGTCTTTCACTCACACCCCAACCGTTACTTGCTGACCTCTGACACCACTTAAAATTACTTAACTACCCTTTGACTTTGTCAAAAAGCTCTTTAGCCTTAAAAAATTATATTAAAAAAAGTAAACTATCTTATATACTTTGTAAATTTACAATTATATATACATATATATATATATATCATATGAATATATATGAGAAAAACTATAATACAAAAATGCCCTCACTAAAATCCGCCACCTCATAAACATCATGGGCAATTATGTAATTTTAAAATCCAACCACTCCATTCTCGATCTCACATGCATCTCTCTCTTTCTTCAAATTGTCTGCAAATCTAAAAAACAAGCATGACGCCTCTATGCCTAGACCACGCCGTCGGTGGAGGCGACGAGAACTATGGCTAAAGGAAAAGTTGTGGATCGAGATCAGACAAAGAGGCACGACGTCACGAGGACTGAAAAAGGTGAAGGCATCACCGTCAAGGATCTGATACCGGAGGTTCGATTGTGGCGATGGCGTTGGAGAAGAGATTGTAGCCATTCGAATTGTTTTCTCGATTGATGAAGAAATAGATTCAGCAAAATTGTGAGAAATTGCGATCTTTATGGGATTTCTTGCACAAAAATTGGGGGAAAAAAAGAGTGAGTTGCAGGAGGGTTTGGTGGTGGTGGAGTCAGCCGAGGAAGGGCGAAGGAATTGTTCTGCATAGATTGCAGGAGGAGGGGAGAGTGAGCTAATTTCCGGTCCCCGGTGATGATCATCATCTTCCATGGTATATAGAGAAAGAGAATCTGGGTGTGAACTACTTATATATTTATATTGTCGTTGATTGCAAGGTGGGGTAAGAATGATTTGTATTTAGGTGTGTTTGTGTATTTATGTGTATACAAACACACCTAAATACAAAGATGTGTGATAGAAGAATGTTGGTAGTGGTGGTTTTGGAGTACTAGGGATGGTGGTGGTGGTGCCACTGCTGGTTGTGGTGGGGATGGTGATGGCAAGATGGGGATGGTAGTGCTCCCAGTGGTGGTTGTTTATGATTGAGAAAGAGAGATTTTGGCTGCCGACTGTGGGAGTTGGGGATGGCGGTGGTAGCGGCGCTGGTGTGGGGGGTGGTAGTGGCTCCGTCGATTATGGTTATGACGGTTGGAATGGTTGTTGTAGATAAAACCCTATCGGAATCGTGGCTGGTCTTTGTTAGAGTAGTCAAGGTTCTTCACTGGAAAATTAATGGGGAATTTTGTCTTTTTAAGTTTGTTAATATTTTGGTTTAATATGAATTTAAAAAATGAGGGTAAAATATTATTTTGGCATTTTTTAACAGTGCTATTACAAAAAAGTAAAGTTGAACATAAATAATAGTGCTATTACAAAAAGTAAAATTGAACATAAATAATAGTAATTTTCGAAAGATATTTTAAGGTGATATTTGATTAATAATTTATCTTATTATTATTATTTTTTTAAAAAAAAACATTTTAATTTATTATATTTGGTTAAGTGGAATCCATTAGGTAGCATTATTTACTATAAAAAAAAAATAAATTATCTTTTTAACTGCCTAATAGAATTTAACCGTTAATACTTAAAGTGTATATATATTTTCCTACACACCAGGGAATAAGTGAACAATTCTATATATATATATATATATATATATATATATATATATATATAGAACAAGACTTATAAATTAATTTTTAGACACGTTTAAATCAAGTATGAATGCGCATATTATTCACATGCCTTTTCCTTACTGTCTAGAGTTGGTTTTGATCAAAATCTTGTATTTTCTCAATCAATTAAATTGTGCAGAGAAGACCACCTACCAAACATGTAGCTTTGTTGATAGTATCAACATGGAAAATGGACTCATCCAAGGCGCCATCATCATCAAGAATTGACAGCATCACATCCATGAAGTCGTCTTGCTCACTCTTTGCCCCAGCGGAAACTTTTTGTTTATGTTCCTCAAGCCACCTCTGCAAAAAGCTGTCCAGTTCTTTAGCGGTCTTCTTCATGGCCTTCTCATATCCTCCCAAATCCAACCACCTCAAAAAAGGAATTGCATCAGAAACTGTAAACACCCCCATCAATTCAAAGAATTTCCTTAATGCCTTGTGTAACCGATCCCCGTCACCCTCCGACGAAGGCATGGTGTTTCTCTCAGCTAGGTATCGCTTCCCAGCAACAATCCTTACAATGAGGTTTAGACTAATGTCCGCGAACCATTTCCTCATCTCCACCAACACTTCATCCGAAGCAGTCTTGTTCTTGACCCACAACTTGTACAATTCTTTGATTGATGCCTTCACCTCGGTTTCACGGACTCGATTGAGCATCGCGAGCCGGTGGTTCGAGAGAAGTTCGGCTGTGGTAATCCTTCGCATTTTGCGCCAGTATGGACCGTTAGGGCCAAGCCCGAACATGGCATAGTTATAGCCCATGTGCTCCACTGCTACGCCTTTTGGACGGGAAGAGAAGACCCTATTATTGGTGGTGAAGCATTCTTTAGCCAATTCCCAAGTACTAACCACCAAAGCTCGGTGCACTCCGAGCCGGATTCCGAAGATCGGTCCGTGTTTGTCTGCCAGAGTTCCGAGGATTATGTGTTGCAGTTGAGACCCTCCTAATAAATGGAGGTGACCGATCAAAGGCCACGCACCGGCAGCTTCCGGTGCTACTCTTTTCTTACTAGCTGTGTTTCTGTGACCAACTCTTGACATCCATAGCACAAAGCAAAGAAGACAAAGAAGAAATGGATATATAGCAAACATAGCATTTGTTTGGAGTATTGGGAGGAGGTACTCCATTGTTGTTGATTTTTGTGTTTAAATTGTTTTGAGAATACATATAGAGAGATATTTATAAGCAAAGGCAATGAAATAGAAACGAGTGATAAATGATGCATGTCATCATCTACAGATGGAGTTCAAAGTGGGAAAGGCAGGTGAGTTGATTTTTAGTTTTTTTTTTTTTTTTTAAAATAATAATTATTAAAAATAAAACAGAAATTGGGTGGGTTGGTTTTTACTTCATTATTAAAAATAATATAAATGTATAGAAAATGTGATTAAAAAAAAGGTTAATTCTTTAAAACCATCACTATTTTCAAATTTTGATCATAAATTTCCAACCTCTTTTAAAAAAAGTCCTACATTAACAATGCATGTCATCTACAGATTGCAGAGTTCAAAGTGGAGAGTGACAGGATTTTTAGTTTTTTTTTTTTAAATAATAATTATAAAAAATAATAATAAAAATAAAAATAAAAATAAACGTGATTAAAAAAAAATAAAAAATCTAGCCCAGTTACGATTTAAGATATAGTTTGTTTTACATCCATGTGAGTCACAATAACAATGCACCAAAACTATTCTCCACGAGTGATTAAGAAAAAGCGGGAACAAATCATTGACCTAAAAATTAAGGGGAGGATGTGGACAAGTCAAAAATAAGTTCTTGTCATAATTTAGGTAAGCATGCACTCAAATCTATAATTAGAATGAACACTCCAATATTATGTAAAGTCTTGTCAAATGTAAAGTGAGTCGAAATTATTGTAACGAAAAAAAAATTTATATATAAAAAAAAAAAAAAAAAAAAAAAAACATTTATCATATTTCTATGCATAAGAAGAGGAAGTAACAAAAGAAGATATACCATATGTACTTCCATAAATAAGATAGAGCGATGACAACTCAAACCTAATTAAATTGATGGAACACTTTATATTTCTGTACAATTATCAAATGGATACCAAAGACACCTCATTAGGGAAAAAAAAAACTACAGTAATAGTAATTAAAAGAGTACGGATTAAGAAAATTACAGAAAAATCTCTATTTTCATTTTAAGTGAGAATAAAAATAATCTCATCATGGTGACTGTTGGTTGTTTGCCATCTTATAGGATCCTTATATCGTTGATGATTACGACGCGATGCTATCTTATGGCGATCACCGACAATGAGATTAAAAAATTTGATGTCCTACAAAAGTTTCTAATCACTTGATCTATTCCAGTTGTTTTTTTTTTTTTTTTTTTTGAGTAGATTTGATCCATTCCAATTGTTTGACTAAAAATTAGGCTATGTTTGGTATAGCTAAAAAAAAAAAAAAAAAAAAGTGATAACATTAATAAGGAGAGAAAAGAAAAATAAAATAAAACAAAATGATAATATTAACTACTTATTGTATTTGGTTTATTAATGAATAAAAAGAAGGGGAATGATACTAATTATGTTTAGAGAAAGAAATAAAAAAATTGATTCTCATATTTAGAGAAAAAAATTAGAAAAAATGAAACTATTTTAATAAATTTACATCATGTGGAAATTTCTCCTCCAATAAAACAAGACAAGCCAGTAAAAGTGCCATCAATGAGGAAGCGCCATGTGGAATTAAAAGAGTGAAAGATGTAGACAAGTTGGCAATAAATTCTTGTCATAATTTAGGTAAGCAAGCACTCAAATCTACAATTAATTAGAATCAACACTCCAATCTTGTGTAAAGTCTTGTCGAATGCAAAGTGAGTTGAAGATATTCTAGCTACTACCTAGCTAGGGTAGACAAAAAAAAATTATCATATTTCCATGCATAAGATGAGGGTGTAAAAAAAGACGTAGCATATGTACTTTCATAAATTAAGGTAAAGAGATTACAATTCAAATCTAATTAAATTGATGGAACATTTGATATTTTTGTACATTTTTTAAAAGAAATTAAACTATGTTTGGTAAAGTCAAAAAAAAAAAAAAAATATTATTAATTAGGAGAAAAGAAAAAGAAAAGAAAAGAAAATGACAATATTAATTACTTATTTGGTTTATTAATGAATGAAAAAAAAAAAAATTGATAATAATCATGTGGCGCTTTCTTTTTATTTTAATGAATTGACATCATGTGGAGGGAAATTTTCACTTCAATAAAAAGAAGACAAGTCAGCAAAAGTGTAATCAATGAGGAAGCGCCACATGGACCAGAGGAAACAATAAGTAGGATCCAGGCCTATCATCCAAATGGAGCAACCCAAACCAGATGGACCGATGGGTGAAACAAAGCCCAGAAAGCATTCAAGACTGCCCAATGTTTCGCGAAGCCCAGTTTGGATCAACTACTTGAAGTCCTATACGAAGAAGGAAATTAAGATGGTGTATAATGATTCAAATATGAAAACTAGTGAAATCATAGAAGGGAACAAATATATACAAAGAAAGAGCTTGGTGGGCATTGGTAGGAAACCAAACTCAAATTTGTAAATCTGTCAAAAATATAAAAGAGGGAAACTATATATTTTATTGATATATGAGATATGAGATAGACAGGGATTTATATAAGTGACGAGATGTTTAGAGAGTAAGAAACCTAAACCCTATATGATCAACCTATACATGGTAAATCTATACATGGTAATTATATATTCTAAAGTTATTTAGAGGATACAGGGAAACTTCATAAACTAAAGAATCCTAAAACATAATTTACAGTATATTGGTCAAGTATCATAATTAATTACTAAATCAATTTAGGAGAATTTAAATAAATATATTAGGAAATACAGCTCATGCTGATAGTCCCCCTCAAGTTGGAGCATAGATATCTATCATGCCCAACTTGTTAATTAAACCATGGAATGCCCTTCCTGAAACTGCCTTCGTGACTACGTCAGCCAACTGATCTTCGGACCGAACAAACGGAAATTGTATAACTTTTTGATCAAGATTCTCTTTAATAAAATGACGATCAACTTCAACATGTTTTGTACAGTCATGTTGAATTAGATTATGTGCAATTTCAATGGTTGCCTTATTATCACAATGTAGACTTGTTGCTTTTTTATAATCAATCCCCAAATCTTATAATACATGTTTGACCCATAGCAATTCGCACACTCCATGAGCTAGGAATTCAGCTTCTGCACTTGATCTAGAAACCACTTTCTGCTTCTTACTTCTCCAAGTGACAAGATTACCTTCCACAAAAGTAAAGTAACCCGATGTGGACCTCCTATCAGTCTGACTCCCAACCCAATCAGAATCTGTATATCCTTTAATTCCATAGACCCCATTCTTATAAAATAGCAATCTTTTTCCTAGTGCACTCTTCAAATACTTCAAGATCTGATACACTGCATTCATATATTCTTCACTCGGTGCATGCATGAACTGGCTCACCACATTTACTGCATAGGCTATGTCCGGCCTTGTGTGTGACAAATAGATTAGTCTCCCAACTAACCATTGATAATGTCCCTTGTCAGTTAGGACCTGATCCATAAACTCTCAAAGCTTGTGATTCATCTTTATAGGTGTATCTACAGGTTTATAGGCTAACATTCCAGTCTCAGTTAAAAGAGCTAGCACATATTTTTTTTGTGATAGGGAAATTCCAGCCTTCGACCTTGAGACTTCAATTCATAAAAAGTACTTGAGTTGACCAAGATCTTTCATTTCAAATTTTGATGCTAGGTACTCTTGTAATGCTTTTCTCTCACTAAGATTATCTTCTCTCAACCATATCATCTACATATACAATCAATGTCGTTACCTTCCTCTCATTGTATTTTATAAACAAAGCGTGATCCGAATTACTTTGCTTATAGCCAAATTCCTTCATTGTGGAGGAGAACCTTCCGAACTAAGCCCGGGGTGACTGCTTCAAACCATACAATGCCTTCTTCAATTTATATACTTCAGTTATACATGAGGATTTACGTTTAGCTCCAGGGGGTAACTCCATGTAGACTTCTTCCTCTAATTGAGGAAAGCATTCTTGATGTTGAATTGTTACAAAGGCCAATCTCAATTTGCTGCTATGGATATAAGAATGCAGATGGTATTAATTTTGGCAATCGGAGCAAAAGTCTCTTGATACTTATCAATACAGCCATTGGCCTTGAGTTTCACTGTAAACACCCATCTACACCCAATCATTTTCTTCCCTTTGGGTAATGGACAAAGTTCCCAAGTGCTATTCCTCTGAAGAGCCTCCATTTCTTCATTCATTGCCCTGGTCCACTTTGGATTTGCCAATACATCCTGCACACTACTAGGAATAGACATAGTGGACAATTGATTAACAAAAAATGTATACGATTCTGACAACCTATGGGGGGAAACATAATTACTAATTGGGTACTTAGTCCTGGCTTTGGGATCGGATTCATATTGTTTCTTTGGTACTCCCCTATTTGACCTCTGTGGATATTTATTAGTTACATTTTCTATTTGGACAGGAAATTCATTAGGTTCATTAAGAATGGGATTTAAGGTTACCTGAGGAAGAACATTCTGGGTTTGATCCTTCGGTTAATGGTGCAAACGTAGGCAACTCTAGAAACGAAGGGGGGTTATTGTTAGAAAAACACGGATTTTTGTATAATTCCGGGTTAGTGGCGTTACCTTGACTAGTGGGCACTGTGGTGCTCGGGCCTGTTTCCTTAAAAACTTCAAAACATCCCCCATTTTCCTCCAATTCGAATAATTCATTTCCACCATCTTTATTCTCTTCATTATAACTCTTACCCTGAAGAGAAGACCCAAAAAACTCCCCTTGAATAGTACGATTCCAATTCACAAAACGAAGTGTAACGACCCGGTCATTTGCCTTCTTTTCCTTTTTCCTGAAATTTTACGAATGAATTTTTTTCGTTTAATTTTCTTTTATGAGCTCTATTTCGTGTCGCTTAGTGTCATATCGAGTGCTCGGAATTGGTTTTTGAGACTCTTTCATGTGAATTGACAACTTCCTTTGAGGACCGAGTCATTTTCCCATTTTCACTTTTTGGACACTATGCGCCTTTCGTCCTTTTCCCTGTTTTGTCCTTTTCCCTATTCTGTCTTTTCCCCATTTGTCACATTATTGGCACAACCTTACTTCTCATGCTCGGAGTTGGTTTTTGACTTCATGTGCCTTCATCTTGAGTGATTTTCTCGAAATACGTATCTTTACTTTTACAAGAAAGTACTCTAGTTGCTCCCGGTGTCCATAGGGGCGTGGATGCACAATTCTTCAGAATCTTTTTCATTTCTTGGGGTGTTTTTCGTAAATATCTTTTAAAGATATTTTATTTCAGGAGTATCTAAGAAAATATCTTTTGAAAGATATTTTCATTTTGGGGCAGTTTCGCGGTTAACCCTTTTTGTAGGGGCCATTGGGCAATTAACGAAAATTATTTGCAAAATGTCTCGTCTGGAGCCTAGATCCTCGTACGGGGTTCATTTTCACATTTTGTTGAGCCGTGGACTCTTAGAATTCCATTCTGGTCATTTTTCTCCAGTTTTAGAGTTTTTAGACCAATCGCCGCCAAACTTGTTTGGAGCATAACTTTCTGCTCGGAACTCAGTTTTTGACGCCGTTTCTTCTGTTATTCATATTTTCTCATTTTGA